AAAAGAATGCAAAAAAATCCTTCAATTTAATTTTGAAAAAAGAATAATATAATGAACACTTAGTTTATCAAATCTTCACATGATATCTTTTTTCCTCTTTTTAATGAAACAAAACATTGTAGATTTAATTGGATCTTCTCAATTTATATTTTGAGATTTATCTGTGTTGATACATGTGGCTCTGTGTCATTTATCTTAATTGCTGTATTATAACTCATGATATGCCACTATTTATTTATCCATGGACGTGTGGTTGTTTTCAATTTTTCAGTATTACTCACAGTGCAGCAGTCAATTCTTGTATTTTTCTCTGCAAGTGCATGTGAGGTTTTCTCTAGAAGGATCAATATAGATAGAGCTCCTGGGCAGTAGGTATAAATATCTTTGACTTTCTTAGGAATTGCTCTAAGCAATTTTTCTAAACAAATCTCCAAAGCTCACCTCAGGGCTTACAGCAATTTACACTTCCAGCGGCAATTATGAGAGTTCCCATTTTTTTCTACATTCTGTGACTTGACATTCTTTGGACCCTTTGTATTGTGCCAATCTGATGCAGGTAAAGTGATATCTCATTGTCATTTTGATTTTGAATGGCTCTCTTGTTATGAAACATTTTGCTGAGCCCTTTTGCTGCTGACTGTTTGGGCAGATGGTACTGTTTGTTCCCCACAGCTGTCTTACTTCGCTTTTCCATTAAAAAAAACACCTAAATTTCAGGGCTTATGGCCTCCTGTAATAAAGACCACCCTTCCCATCATCTCTTACAACTATGTGTAGCCATGTGATTAGTGTTTCGCTGATTAGACTGAACGGAGGCTGTGCACCTTCAGGGAAGTGTCAAAGGGAGGAGGCATGCCCTTCTCCTTCCCTTCTTCTTTCCTTTCAGCTGAAATGCAGATATGATGGCTGCAGCTGGAGCAGTTATCTTGGACAATGAAGTGAACTTGGAAACCAAAGCATGAGTGGCAGAGGAACAGGTTAGAAGGAACGAGCCTGGGTGGACCCATGACCCATGAATCACTGCACCAGCCCTGAACTGCCCACCCAGACATACTCATGATGGAGAAAGAGACTTCTGCTTTGCTTCAGACACTGCTAGCCTATATTTTCTATCTCTCACCAGAAATCCAATCCTAACAATACACTGATCAGTTCAGTCTTATGCACACCACCCAAGGGAGGACACATGTGTGTCTGGGGAGGACGGAAAAAAGGAGTGGTTCTGAGGAAGCACCAATACATCCCTATAGAAGGCAACCCGGCCAGTTTCCCAGGCCTGGACTGTGAGTTAAACTCTGGACGTGACTTGAGTCACCTAACATCCTTCCCCAGAAGAAGTCTAGATGAGAAATACCATTTTGGAGTGAGGCGGTGTTTTCAGAGTCTGAAGTCTGTGCGGTGCCCTCTGCCTCTCAAAAGAACTGCTCCTGGAGGGTGGTCTCAGGAGGTGGCAGGCACGACCCCGACCTCCAAGGAGGCTCAGCATGTAACTCCTCTCCCACACCTGTGGTGGGGCTGGGCTTGCGTCCTTTGGGAGACATGGAGATAAAAACCTTGGGACATTTTTGTTTCTTCTAAGTAACTGGGGTGCTTGTTCTCATAGACAGTGAGGACCGTGTGACTGTGCGTGTTCTGTTTTTACTGAAACAGAACAACGGGTGACTGGGTTATTACAAGTATATTGGACTTGACACCCTGCTTCTCTGGTACCATCCTCACGCCTACCTCACTACCCGTCTATCTCTAATTTATAGTCTCCCTTGCATTCTTTTTTGGGGAGTGGAGAGGGTGAAGTAGGAAAGAACAGCTTTATTGCTTTGCCAGGCAAAGGGGCCCACAAAACTAACGCCATCAAAACTATGTGTCCTGACCTGGAGGGAATAGTGAGGATTCTATAGTACAATTCAAAGAAGACGTGATGGCTGGTGGACGTTCTTCTGATTGGTTGAACATTCTTCTGCTTACATTCTGTGGTGAGGTAAGTGGGAGTCAGCATCATCAACTTTCAGGTTCCAACCAGTGTGGGGTCTACCTGCTTATGGGCACCATACAAGTAACTTCTCCCACTTATTGGGGGTTTCGTATCTACAAAACAGCTCAAAGATATTGTTATGTATATCCCTTGATGGGGAATCCCTTGCCTTCTGAGTTGCCTGTAATATTTGATAGAATGTCAGCAGGGAAGAGAGAGACTAAATACATCCTATGTAAATATCATTGGAATTTACCCTTCCAAATCAGAGTATTACTTCCCCAAAGCGGTCCCCTCCGGAGACCCTGCTTATCACCTGATGCTGTTGCAACCTTGCTACCCATCCCATCACCCCAGGGAGGCCTGAAGACTCTGAGAGAATAGCTTTTTTTGGAGGAGGGTGGAGTGTAATAGTTCATGCACTTGATACATGTGTTCAAAGTAGCAATGTTGCCCAACTCCCAGGAAATACCATCCCCAGTGCCTCCCAGGTAAACAAGGTCCCTGGGGATTCATGTCCTTAGCACCTTGCCCGAATGGTGCCCCTTGGAATTGGGCGGCACAGCACTGCAACAGCTGCAGGAATGCCTGCTGGAACCAGCCCCTAAAGAAGGTTCTCAAGTTCCAGGGGGTTCTAGTTTGGGGGAAGAAACAGATATAAACAGTCATTATAAAGCAAAGAAGAACTATCCTGTCAGCCTGTTTATTGATAGCTTGAGGGAAACATCAATTTTGAACGCAGAGAAGAGGTTCTCAAAAGTTTCATAGATGAGGACTGGGGGTTGGGGAAGCCATTAGAACCTGTCTTTAGATGAAAAGAGGGTTTTGCAGTTTATTAGTTTCCTGTGGTTGGTGTAATACTTACTACAAATTTGGCTGCTTAAAATAACACATATTTATTCTCTTACAATTCTGGAAGCCAAAAACCCCAATTCAGTTTCACTGGGTTGAATCTCCCAGTTGCTGCTCCCGGCTCGGAGCAGGTCCGAGCTCCCTCCAGAGGCACTAAGGGAACATGTTCCTTTCCTCTTCCAAGAAAGGGGTGGTTGCCAACATCGCTTGGCTTGTCTGCCTCACTCCAGCCTTCAAGGCTCTCTCCACTCTGTCTTAACATCGCCTTCTCATCTCAGTATAATAAAATTGCCTTCCGCTTCCTTCTTACATCCTAAAGGAAATCAACCCTGAACATTCATCGGAAGGGCTGATGCTGAAGCTGAAACTCCCAATACTTTGGCCGACTCACTGGAAAAGATCCCGATGCTGGGAAAGACTGAAGGCAAGAGAAGAGGTGGCAGAGGATGAGGTGGTTGAATGGCATCCCCAAGTCAATGGACATGTGTTCGCACAAACTTTGGGAGCTAGTGAATGACAGGGAAGCCTGGTGTGCTGCTCTTCATGGGGTAGCAAAGAGTTGGATGTGACTTAGTGACTTAGCAACAAGGATACAAGTGTCTGATCGCCTTTAGGGCCTATGTGGATGATTCAGGATAAGCTCCCCATCTCAAAAAGCTTAACTGAATCACATCTCCAAATCTGCAAAAGATGTCTCTCTCCGATCTTTTTTTTTTTTTTCTTGGCCAAGTAAAGTAACATTCACAAGTTCCAGCAATTTTGATAGAGGACATTCCCAACCTGGTTCCAAGTAGGGGACCCCAGCAAAGAACAGGCAGAGAAGCAAGAAAGAGGTTCAGAGTGTTCTGGACCTGGAAGGAGTCTGGACTGGCCAGATCACAGGCCCCCTGGAGCGGGGGTGGTCAGAGGTCAGAGCTGGTAAAGCTTCCCCAGTCACGCTTAGGTCAGAGGAGCCACGGAGCAGAGGAGGGACTCAGTGGGGTCGCGTGTTAGAAAGATCCTCTGACCCCTGCGTGGAAGGACGGGCTGAAGGGAAGGAGACTGCTGCTTGGGATACAGGGAAAGACAGCAGAGAGAAAGGACCAGCCTGCCTGGAGAGGGTGGCATTGAAGAGAGGGAAGGGGCAGGATGGAAAACTAGGGGGAAGTAGATAGACTGTGGTGTGATGGATGGGGGAGAGGGAAGTGGGTGATTCTGAAAATCAGTGGTGGGCATCTTTCCACTTGGCTTCTGCAAATAGCTCAAGTCAGTGTGTAAAGTGGGCAGCGCCGCTGAGGTCAGGCGCTGAACCTGGCGGTGGCTCTTGACTCAGCTCTGGGCCACCTGGGAGGGAGCAGCCTTTGTCAGAGGCTTGGACAGGAAGTCCTCCAGCAGGAAAGTGTGCCGATGCTCGCCATGACCGCCCAGGTGCCATCCGGGGCAGATTCATCCCGAGCCACCTCCTAGGGTGGGGCCACCTGCCCCCGACCCTCACCAGTCCCTCGCCTCCCTCCCTGCGTGTCTGGCTGTCTCTGACTCAGCCCCAGGTGGGGAAGGGGCAATGATGCTGCCCGTTAGTATAGGAATGGAGGGCTGGGGAGCCAGGAAGAGGCAGGCCAAGCCCATTCTCCCCACCCACCACCACAACCCACCCCCACCGCCACTTCTTCCCAGCTAAAAACTCTTTGCAATTTCCTCCGACAGATTCTTAACACTACTTTAGCTGCGTGACCTTAACTGCATAATTTAACCCTGGAGGTCCAGTGGTTAAGACTTTGCTTTCCAATGCAGCAGATGCAGGTTCCATACCCGGTCTAGGGAGCTAGGATCCCGCATGTCTGTGGCCAAAAAAAAAAAAAAGTAGAACAATATTGTAACAATTTCAATAGACTTAAAAATTCAAACGAATTCTAGCAATACAAGAAGGGAGGGGTTTATTCAGACCTTTTCCTTTGCATTTACGCACATAAGTAGCACTTATACTAACATCTGCAACTCACCGTTTTGACTTAATACGTCTTAAGAAATGTCAGTATCTATAACCAGACTCAGTCTTGTGTGGAGATTCCCTGGTTTGGCTCTACGTTGATTTTTAACCATCTCCCTTCCGATGGGTGTTTTTGTTAAAACTTTGCTATCAAAAAAATGCCACCGAGTATCCTCACCTGGGCTTCTTCATGGAGGGAATAAAACTTACCTGGGATGGAGGGGTGGCCCAAGAGATTCTGAGAACCCTGCTGAACTGTGCCCGTCCAGGCTGGGCTTCCACATTCCTGCCCAGGGCCCTCAATGGCCCCAAGCGCCTATTCTGAGCCAGGTCCTGGCACAGCTCTTGCCTGGTAGGAGAGGGAGCCAGGGATACAGTCTTAGGGTCCTATGACGGAGTGAGCCATGGGGGCCCAGGACTGGGGACAGAGGGGAGCAAGGAGGGCTTCCAGGAGCCCAGTTTTGCTGGGCAGAGCAGCAAGTGGAGGAGGGCCAAAGCCAGCCATGCCCTGGTGAGTACCGCCGTCCCCTTAGTGCCGTGGGGGATGTGAGTGGCAGGAGGTGATGCCAAGCTAGGAGACTGACTGTCGCCCGAGGATGGTCACACAGAGGGTTAAGCAGACATGCTTGACCTCTCTCTCACCCACAAGCACATGGTCAAGGCTGATTCAGGAGGGTGGGGAGGGGAAGAGGCATCAACTCCCATCAGCTAAGAGCCCACCGTGAAGCAGGCCCTGTGTGAAGGGCCTTCTTCCTTTGCCTTTCTTCCTTCTTTCCTGCCCTCCTTCCTTTCCTTTTTTCTAATTAATAGATTTTTTAAGAGCAGGTTTAGGTTTACAGGGAAATTGAGGAGAAAGTACAGAGTTCCCATATCCTAGTCATCCACCCCCAGTTTCCCCATTATTAACACCTTGCATTAGGGCGGGTGTGTGTCTGTTACAACCAATGAACCAATATTGATACATGATTATTACCGAAGTCTGCAGTTTGCATTAGGATTCACTCTTGGCCTTGTATATTCTGTGAGTTCTGACTACACGCCATTATAATATCCCAGAAGGTAGTTCCACTGCCACAAAAATCCCTTCTGCTCTGCCTGTTCATCCCTCCCCACCACCCAACCTCTGGTAACTCCTGATCCTATTACTGTCTCCATAGGTTGGCCTTTTCCAGAATGTCATACAGTTGGAATTACATAGCACATGGCCTTTTCATACTGACTTCACCGAGTAACATTCATTTCAGGTTCTTCCCTGTCTTTTCATAACTGGATGGCTCATTTCTCTTTATCTCTGAATAATATTCCATTGTCTGGATGCATTAATTTGTGTATCCACTCACCTCCTGAACGACATCTTGGCGGCTTCCAAATTCTGGCAATTATGAATAAAACTGCTGTCAATATCTGTGTGCTGTTTATTGCATGGACATAAATTTTCAACTCATTTGGATAAATATCTAGGGGCACAATTACTGGACCATATCGTAAGCCTCAATTTCATAATACATGAATAAAGTCACATCATAAGAAGTCGAATAATACTACATAGAACAGAGAAGGAAATGACAACCCACTCCAGTATTCTTGCCTGGAAAATCACATGGACAGAGGAGCCTGGTGGGTTACACCCCATGGGGTCGCCAAGAGTCAGACACGACTGAGCGAGTAACATGCACACACTACATAGAACATGAATGGTGCACCCTAATCCTGGGCATACCTTGTTTTACAAATGAGGAAAGTGTGTTGCTAGGATGTAAGTGACTTGTTCTGGAGTTCACAGCAGGAAGCCGTGGAACACACACAAGCCCTACGGGCCCTCGGAAGAGGGTCAAGAATACTGGCCTGACTGTAGGTGTGAGGGTGACCAGTGAGGGTGGTGGTGAGGTTTATCCCCTTCCCCTCCCAGCCTCCTTCCCCTCAATGCTCCCTTTAGAACCCAGTAATCACAAAGTAAGAAAACCCAGGCTACGGGGAGAGGCCTCCGCATGTGGGTGTTCTGGGGGTGTCAGCTGTCTGACAGCGGGTGTCAAGTGCCAGACACGTGAGGGAACTCTGTCTTGTGATTCCAGCTCCCAGCCTTCAGGCCGCCCCAGCTGACCCTGAGTGTAGACACGCTGCCTTCTGATCCTGGCCCACACTACTAACGTGTGAGTTTGAAAAAAAGGAAGGGGAAGAGGAAGACGAAGCTTCTGCCACTGGATTTGGGAGTGGTTTATTTCACAGCAAAAGATGGGTAAGACACGTTAGAAGATGACACAATGTTCCAGGCTCATCCTGGATACCTCCTACCCTAGATCTGCAATTAGCCAATGAGAAATGGAACTTGAAGACCTCAGTCTGAACTCTTTGGGTGAATTGAATTTACAGATTAAACTAGGGAGAAATAACAGTTTGTAGCACTGACTTTTCCTACCTGGGAATATGCTGCCACTACTTAATCCATTTTTCTTTACCATCTTTCAATGAAAATTATTCTCTTCACATCGTGAATTTCTTACTTGGTTCTTTCCATGGTTATTTTCAAGCTTTTTTTTTACTATGATGATTTTTTTTTAAATTAGTTTTTTGGTGTCTAGACAGCTGTAAATACAATCAGTTGCTTAGTTTTTGTATATGAATCTTCTGTCTAGCAAATTTCTTGAACTCTTAACAGTTCTAAAACTTTTTTCAGTGGATCCTCTTGGATTTTTTAGGTAAATCATTCTACCATTTTTTCCTTTTTAATACATAAATCTCTTATGCTTTTCTTAATGCACCGTTTAGGGACCCCGGCTTTATGTTGAATAGCGGTGACGATTGTGGACATTCTTATTTACTTGTCTTTAATGGGATTACTTCAAATGTTTTAATATTAAATTTGCTGTTTGCTTTAAATGTTTGATAGGTATTACTTTTTAGCTGAAGGAAACTTCTCAACATTGTTAGCTTGTAATGGGTTTTTATCAGAAATGAATATCCAGTTGTATGTCCAAAACTAACACTACATTATAAATCAACTATATTTCAATAAAAATTTTTTAAAAATGAGTATTGAAATTTATCAATTGCCTTTCTTATTTGATATATTATCAAATATATATATTATATATTATTTGATATATTTTCCCTGCTTATGTATTAATGCACTAAAATTACATTAATAAAATTTCTGTTGTTCAACTATCCTGAATTCCTGCAATAAAATTATGCTGGGTCAAGAAGTATGATTTCACTGGGTTTGGTAGATTCACATATTACTTTGGAGTTTTGTATCTATACATGTAAATGAAAATAGCCCATGGTTATTGTTTGTGTGTGTACTATCATTTTGTTTTCTTTTCAAGTTTATTACAGTTTTTATAGAATAACTTGGGAACTTTTCATTGTTTTCCATGCTCTGTAAAATTTTATATAAACTAGGAATTATATGCTCTTTGAAGGTTTACAGTAGACTTGCCCCCAGAACAGTCTGGGCTTGTGCCTTTATTTTAAGAGTATATCTTTGATAACTTCTTTTTACTTTCCTTCCTTCTTAAATAAAATATCATTCTTTTATCAGATAGATTGGGAAAATACAACCGTATATTTGCATGTACTTAATAGCATGTCCTTAAAATATATAGGGCAAAAACAGTAAAAAATTAATTATGATGGGATATTTTCAACACTCTCCTCTCAACGGACTTCCCAGATGGTGCTAGTGGTATAAACTCACCTGCCAATGTAGGAAACTTAAGAAGAGACATGATTTGATCTGTGGGCCAGGAAGATCCCCCAGAGTAGGAAAGGGCAACCTGTTCCAGTATTCGTGGCTGGGAAATCCCGTGGGCAGATGAGTCTGGTGGGCTACGGTCCATGGGGTCACAAAGAGTCGGACGAGAATGAAGTGACTTTAGCACACACACACACTACTCTCACTAGATAAAAGACATAAATCTATTTGAAGAACAAATTATAAAAATTGACCTAATAGTTCACTCAATAACTGCAGAATCCACTTGTCTCCCCTCCACACAAAATATTTATAAAAATTAAAAATATAGACCGCTTCATGAATTTGCATGTATCCTTGCTTAGTTAAGTTGCTCAGTCGTGTCCGACTCTGCAACCCAATGGACCACAGCATGCCAGGCTTCCCTGTCCATCACCAACTCCCGAAGCTTGCTTAAACTCATGTCCATCAGGTCGGTGGTGCCATCCAACCATCTCATCCTGTCGTCCCCTTCTCCTCCTGCCTTCAATCTTGTCCAGCATCAGGGTCTTTTCAAATGAGTCAGTTCTTCGCATCAGATGGCCAAAGTATTGGAGTTTCAGCTTCGGCGTCAGTCCTTCCAATGAATATTCAGGACTGATCTCCTTTAGGATGGACTGGTTGGATCTCCTTGCAACCCAGGGGACTCTCAAGAGTCTTCTCAACCACCACAGTTCAAAAGCGTCAGTTCTTCAGTGCTCAGCTTTCTTTACAGTCCAACTCATATCCATACCTGACTACTGGAAAAACCATAGCTGGTACTAGACGGACCTTTGCTGGCAAAGTAATGTCTGCTTTTTAATATACTGTCTAGGTTGGTCATAACTCTTCTTCCAAGGAGCAAGCGTCTTTTAATTTCATGGCTGCAGCCACCATCTGCAGTGATTTTGGAGCCCCCCAAAATAAAGTCTGTCACTGTTTCCACTGTTTCCCCATCTATTTGCCATGAAATGATGGGACCAGATGCCATGATCTTAGTTTTCTGAATGATGAGTTTTAAGCCAACTTTTTCACTCCTGTTTCATCAAGAGGCTCTTTAGTTTTTCTTCACTTTCTGCCGTAAGGGTGGTGTCATCTGCATATCTGAGGTTATTGCCATACTCCTAATTTATTCCTCACCTGCTCCCTTTCCGTAAGTTTGTTTCCTGTGTCTGTGAGTCTGTTTTTGCTTTGTATTGCAGTTCATTTTCATTATTTTTTACATTCTACATATAAGTGATACTGTATTTGTCTTTCTCTTGAATCAGTTCTTGAACTTTATATTGCTCTAGAGAATTACCCATTTCAATTTTTAATTTACAGGTAGACTTTTAATATAAATGGTCTCCTATAATGAGAAAAATAATTTTATATCTGATAGTTTGTATTGTCCTTTTTCAAAATTCAAATTTGACAAAAACATGTCTAATTCATTATTGTTATTGATTGAATCTATTCTTTTTTGTGGGGTTTACTAATTCCTTCTGCTTTTTTTGGTAATTATTTTGTTTTACTAAACAAATTGTTTAGTAAATTAGATTTTCTAGGCTAAACATTTTTCTCTGAATGGCCTTTGGCTCGAATCCCCCAGGCTTTGTACAATACTCTTATCATGATTTAAGTTAGTGCAAATAGCTTAATCCAGAGTAGATTTTTTTTTTACCTAGGAGCTATTAAGAATGAACAGTATTTTAAAGACTCCTAAGATATAATTCTAGTAATAGATAAACTTCTAAGGAATATTTTTGGTCTTCTTTTCTAATTCTATTCAGTGAATCCTACTGCAGTCCATTCAATGAATGTGCCCTGTATGATTTCAGAACTGAATTTCAAAGAAGTTGGGGTAGGGAGGGCTCCCAAATATCACTCCCCTCCTCTGGGTGATCCACATGCTTTCCTCCCAACCTTTGCTGTAAAAAGGGTCCACCAGATGTTGAGACCTTCTGGCTTTTCAAGGCTTCTCATGAAAGGCCTGAGACTGAGGAGTTGGCAGTTGTAATGGGAATTCTCTAATTCTGTAACTCATAGTGGTAACTTCACCCTCCCTTCAGTTTCTCCCTACTTCCAAAGCTCTGCCCATCATGTAGGTGAGTCCTTTCCAGCACCGCACTTGCCACTCCTTGTTCAAGAATTTATGATGATTTCCTGTTGTTAACCACAGCAGTGCTTCAAGGACCTCATTCTTTGAGGTGTTCATTAAACACAACTGTAAGAAAACATGGCAGCTGATGCCATGGCCTCAACCCCAACTTCCCAGGTCCACCTACTCATCCTAGTATAAGTCTATCCATTTCTCCTTTTCCTTCCTAGCCCAAGGCGCTGCATCCTGTGCTGTGCTTCTCACCTGTTTATATTTGAATTCTTGATTTCTGTCTAAATTTAAACCTGTTGAGGTATAAACTAATTTTTTCTCAGCCTTACTCTTTCCAAACAATAAATAGGACACAATGCTTTCTCAGCATCATTTGATCATGGAATGGTTTGTGGTATATTTTTTCTCCACTGTTTACCAATCTTTCCATAAACCCTGACCATGACTTAGGTTCTGGGTTCACAGTAACGGCCTGGTCCTTAACTTTTAATGAGAACCTCCTACTCAACTGCATGGGCCCCAGCACTACTCCTAAAATGTCTGTCAAGGT